AGAGGGGCACAGCAGGGCCCAATGGGTGCATGTGTAGATGCCCTGCCTTACAGTGCATTAATAGCATGTGTAGATGTGCCCAGTCTCATGCAATAAATTCTGAAATTACTGAGCCACTGCTTGCACATATGTATATGTACAACCTATATATTACATGAATGGTATATATAAATATTTATATATATTGGATCTGTGTGGAATATATTTTCATGTCACAAGTTCACATATCTTGTCCACTATAGATACTAAAGCGGCACCAGAAACTGAAGGCCAATTTCTGTTAGTGTTTCCAAAGCAGACTTCAGTGAGAGTTCAGTAAGAGACTGCAAAAGCTTGCATAATTGAGCCCTAACAGATTTGGGAACATATTTTTACTTTACTCAGATGCCATAATTCACAATTATGATGCCACTATAGTTACACTCAATATGTTAACCAACACTCTTGCTGTAAAGGAACTGAAGTAAACCACACATTCTCCCTAGCTTTCCAAACTCCCCACCATTAGTAAGAACATGTATTTAGCTGTCCTAAATCAAACTACAAATGTAAAAATGTTAAAAGCATACGCATATAAAAGAACAAGGAGGTTCATTTGTGCCTCATGTTTCTCATCAGAAGATACGATAATACAAACAAAAAAGTTGTAGCCAAAGATCCATATATTGTAAGGCCTGAAGAGACTACGGTGATTTATCACAACCTCCTGGTGTCCGGAGCTTCTGATTACACTGTGCATTTCTTGGTGGTCACCTTCTCTATCATCATAGCTTTTTGATATATGTACAATTTTAGGCCTCATATATTACCAGACAATACCTTCCTCAGATCCCCTATATGTTTTTTAGAGTACTGAACCTAAACTGAATGCTCCCTGAGCTTTGACGGGTTGAACTACAAACTGCTAGCCCAGCTTAAAACCCTAACAGCAACACCTCCCACATCAATGCAGAATCTACCTTCTGCCCAGGCTTGCATGTCTACTCTACATTTGGATTGAAATTTTGCTTTTGCTGAAGCTTGAGGCATGCTGGATTTGGGGCTTTTGTTTGGTAGGAGTTAATGGATAAATAAAGATGCAGAAGATAGGGATGTATTTGGTACCCATGTTGGTCTTAGACAAAAAGAAATGCAACAATCTAGAACTGTTGGTTCAGAGCTGATATCTTGTATTAGATTGACAGAGAAACTGCAAAATATATGTATTTTTCTGCAAGCTTTCAGGCTCACACACCCTTCATCAGGCTTAGGGAAAGTTAAAGTTGGTAAAAAGTCCCCATATGTAGGAAATAATCTTCATTTTTGCACAGAGAAAGCTGAAGTTGGAAATCTGTCCCTCTGGTCCATGAAGATATACATGTATTTTCCTGTGCAGATAAAGGTCCCTATGTGACTGAGTATGTTGCTATATAAACACACTTTTTTAACGTATGGACAAGTCTTAGGTTTAAGTCAAACAGCTCTGGATATAAATCAGATTGCCAGGTGTAAAACAAGTATCTGACACAAATGAGACACCATGATAAGATGCCCTCTTTTGTGCATGCTCGTCTTTAGACCGAATGCAAGTGTACAATCCCATGCTGGGCTCTTCTTTCTGCTTGGCATGTCGATGTGCAGCATCAGAAATGATCAAAGATTTTATTAGCTTTCTTCTCGTATAAAGAGATGGTAATAAAAGACAGTTCTGTTATCACTGCGGTGACATCACATGCCGTTGACCTTAACTGCATGAATTTTAAAGGGCTGGTTTTAATGCTATCATGGCAGAGTAGGGAAGTTAAGAGCGTACGTGGAGGGGGAAGGGGCTTAGCAGTACTGCTTTCTTAACCACTGTTTATCAAATGGGATCACTTATTGGTATTACAATCATAATATATTGCAGAGTCTGTCATAATCTGTTCTGTTAGCCTCCAGAAGTTAAATGGCAAAATCTAATTCCATATGCTCCCTTACCTAAGGGATGATGCCTGGTTCCAGGTCACGACAGGAAGCAGTAAGTTGTAAGGAGTAACTGAAAGGAGAACTTGAGTTAATGCCTAACATACTGTAGGTGGATTCATTTCTAGTTTTGAGATATCTCAAACATGACATATTTGTGACACCTTTGGGAATGTTTTTGAGTACAAACACTAAATCATACTGCGACATAAATGAAACATTTTCATTTGTGACAGGCAATTTTGTAGAAAAACTGCACCACCAAGCACACAGTCATCATTAAAAATAAATTTCCAAATACATTTTACATTTATTTTTGTTGAGAAACACTTATTGGTTGAACTTGCAGTCTGCTGTTGGAGTGAGCTGGTTGCAAGTTTCTTTTAACTGTTTCAGAGCACCATGCATAAAAGGAGCAGAACGCAGTAGGGAATGGCTTATAACCAGGATCCTGGTTTTTTCTGATTTAAAAAAATCCCCAATTTTGGGTTTAAAAAAAAAAAAAAAGCCCAAATCCACATTTTTCCATTATGAAAATGAAACATCACCATATCTCTCTCTCTATATTAGTGGTGTTTCATTTAAATCACTGCTCTAACCATATTCTACTACAGCCCAGTAAGGCGTACTGTATGGCTTACCTCTGTGTATTTTGTGATTGTGACAGGCAAAAATAGAAGATGGGAAGGAGGGACCTATGCGCAAGATGCCCTTCGTTTACTTTGCTTTGCCATTAGAAACACAAAGCCAAGCCTCCTTTCCCTCCTCACATTTCCTGACAATTTATAGTTGAAGCAAAGGTACAATAGCCATGTCTGCAAAAATCTATAAACAGCTGGCACAGCAGCAAAACCCACAAGCCCATGCTGAAAATGGGTGGCTGCATGTTCACATTTTGCCTCTAAAAACCAAACTTTCCCCCTCTCACTTCCTGTGCGACACCCACTGTGGTATCCAACTGCTGAATAGTGTAAGGTAAAATACCTGAAACACAATTCAGGGAGCTTTTAGCTGACATTTTATAGTTTTAGGCAAAAAGCAGCACAGATAAGAAGAATACAAATTTAATACAGCCACATTTACACTCTAGAGTCCAGACATCATATCTTTTAACTTCTCCATTTTCTGCCGGCCTATGATTTATATATCTACTCATTATGTATTTATTTAACATTGTTATTAAAATACAGCATTTAAATAATGTTCCTCTTTGTAACTAATCACCAAAAATCTCCTTTGCAAACTTCTTTGGTTTTGACATGATGTAGTTTCCTCAGGTCAGTCCAAGCCCAGCTCCAGTGGCTGTATTTCCCATTAGTTTACTCCTTATAAAAAAGCCATATTCTTTACATGAGCAAATAAGGTTAAAGGAGATATCCCATCGGTATCAAGGACTCGTGATCCTTCTTCTTGAAAACTCATATAATTTTTTCCTCGCCTACTCTTCCAGTATGCTAATGTAGCATGTTTATAAAGCAAAATGACTTCTCCCTCAAGATTTTATTTCTTTCGTCTTAATATGCAGTAGGATTTTGTTATTGCCCATAAATCTATGTTGGTGAACAAAGTACACTCAGGATCATAAACATATTTATTGTCCTAGTTAGTATATTTATTCTGTGTACAAGCCTTTAAATTCCTCCAGGATTTCATTGATAGTTTTTCTAATTCTACCATAGGAGGGCTGGGCATCGCAAAGTCTACTCCATTGGTATTCTACCTCTAATGGCTTTGCACTTGGTTTAGAAAGTAGCATGCACTACAAAAATTAAAGTGAAGACAAAGTGATAATGAAGAGTAAAATAAAAATAGAAGGTAGATAAAAATAGGAACAGAGGAGGTGATACAAGCTTTCTGCTAAAAAAAAAACACATTGGTGTTTGAGTCGGCTTGTTTACTGGCTTCTATGTGATGTCATCATTTACACTTACATAAAGCTGGTATAAACTGTACGTAAAATGGCAGTCACACAGACAACATTCATGCCTATGCTGCAGATAGAAAATACTACAGAAGGTTTAAGACAGCTCATAATGAATTTCACTCCACAAATTCTAATTTATACCAGCTAATCATCTAACAATTTCTTCGTTTCCTAATGCATGTCACAAGATTGTCTTTAGCTAGAGGGGTAATATCATTGAGCAATACCCTGGATCATGTGCTGGCTCATTTGCACTAAAAGGAATCGTAAACCTTTCTAAGATTTCCCCAGGCTGAGGGAATCCCTGGCTAATGCAGAGCTGGCTTAAAGCCACCTCCAGTCTCCAGCTGGACTTGAGACAGTTGAAGACCTGAGCTATTGTCTTTTAAAATGGGTTCCCTCAGAGATATACAGCATTGGGTCACTCTGAGAAAAGATTGCAGGCTTGAATTCATATTGTTCTGCCATCATATCTGTATTACACTTCTCCACTTAAGTGGACTTCTCCAGAATTGTATGCACTTGGCATTTTATTACCATTTCTTGTGAATCATTCCATATTCTCTCCTTTTTTAGGGGGATGTTTCCCCCTCGGGATGAGCCCTATTACTTTGTTGGAGAACAGTCCTCAGCCTTGTTTAAACGACAGCTGAAACTTATTTACAGTTCCTCTGTTGGCTTAGGTTACAGTTGTCAGTCTTGATTCCTCATTTACCTGAATCATGCTACAGCTGTAGCCTTTTTGACATTGTGGATTCAGACACAATAAAGATTTGAAAGCCTTTTATTCTATACTCAAACATTGCACTTTAAATTGTTCTAGTAAGAGCAGTTACCCAAAATAAGTTGATTCTTTATAAAGCAGCCCCTGAAGGAACAACACCTGGTTGCACACAAAATCAAGTAAGATCCCCAAAGAAAACTAATTTACTAGCCTGCAATAAAGCCCTATGAAGGCCATCCTTTTAGTTCCTAGGATCCATCACATCTTGGTTTTAACCAATTTGCTTTCACCTTCTCCATGAACTTTCAGTAGCTGTTACTCGCTTGTAATATTGCTTTCCTAACACCAGATGGTGCTGTATAAAGGTATAAAGAGTAGTACCTCCAGGCCCCATTAGTAAGTACAAATGGAGTCTAGCTAGTAACATCCAAGTGTCATGGCCTTTCCTGATTGCAGATAAGTGCATCATAAACACATCTCAAGGGTGAGTATCTCTATATTTTATCATCAAAATAAGAAGTGAGAGAGGAAGAGATAATTCGGTAAGTTGGCTCTCCCTTTTGGAAGAGACTCTGTGGAATGCAATAAGGGAATTTTAGCACCCCATAGTAATGTATATTATTGAATGATCCCTTTTGTAGAGCTTTGTTATTACCAGACTTCCTGTAAAAGATGTAACCTGCTTAAAACAAACAAACAACCCCCTCCCCCAAAAGGGCAGAGGGGCAGAACCAGGGGGAAAAGCCCCCTTTCTATGAGAATTCCTATGTTGTTTTGTGTAACTGTATTACCCCACAGATGTGAAAAGCATTTCCAATCTTATCAAAATCCCTCCTGAAGACCTATTTCTATTCTGATGTATGGTCAACATCAATATTTCTTTGTTTTGATTTGGTTTTTGAAAATCTTGCAAAGCCCATGGAAATGGCAAGACGTGTCCTCCTCTGTTTGTGTGTTTGTATTCCACTATTTATGCTAAGCTTTTCAGAGCAGGGTACCCCATCTCTGTTATTACAGATGCATTGTACAAATAAAACGGTCTTGGACGCACCTTAGGCACGATTATAATTCAAATAAAAATAACTGTAAAGGTGCATTTCTTGTTCTACGCTGCAACCCAACCTAATAGATTTTATTTCTGAGAGTATTTTTACTTGCTGTGCTCTTGCCTCTCTAGGACGTTCCATGAAACCCAAAGCAGTTAGATGGAAAAACAGAAGCAAAATTGTTCTGCTGTGGTTCATTGTCAGCATGTAAAAAAGATGCCGAGCTAACTTCATGCTTATTTAATTTGGGGGGCAGTGCAGTTACGCCAGAGTTGAATTTGGCCAGTGCAGATATATTTGAGATTAATTTGGTCAAATAAATTTAAGTGGGATTAATCAAAGCTTTTTTTCTCAGGGTTGAGCCTGTGGCTCTATTGTACTTTAACCTCCCCTGTAGGTTTGTGTTAGTGGTTTACCACTAATCTTTCAATACTCTCAAACGAGCCATTTTGTTATTCTGTTTTTTGCTCCCCAGTGACTGGTCTGGCCAGGCTGCTGAGAAATTAACTAAGATACAATGTGCTACTCTCTCTAAATATCTTGTGACATTATTATATTGCTTACTCGCAGCCTGGGTAAATGAATTTGTATTGTAGATACCTTTACAGTGAAGGAAAAAAACCTGGGGAAAGAGACAGAATTAGCACTCAATCCACATAGACATGTGAGGACAGATCCTTGGATGCTGTAAATCAATACAACAACAGATTATATCACCTGGGCATCTATCCAATGTCAGCCTTTTTCTTCCTGGATATTTTAGTTCATCTCTTCCATTTCATGGCAAGTGGGAGCAACAACTATTATAGAACAATAGTAATTTCCTCCACTAAAGACTGAAAAGATTTCTTGTGCAATAATAATAATAATAAAGTTTTCTTAGGAATAGACAGATGCCCTCCATAAAAATATGAAACTGCTGGGGGGAGGGGAGGCAGTGGGGAGCAGAATAGCATTGGTTAGTCATGGAGGTGTGTTATGTTGATTGTGATGGGTGCTGATTTGACAGGCCTGAGTGAGAAGTTTAATATATATCCACAGAACAGGTGGGATTAGGGCTGGTCAGAATCTTCCAATGAAATGTTTTTCATGGAAAAACACTGATTAATCATCATTGACTTATCAATGTCATTAGTGGCTTGATGTCTAGCTGAGAGGGAAGGTATCAAGTGATGTTTTCCAGCAGTCTGTCTTGAGTCTGGTATTGTTCAGCATCTTCATGCAATTGGGATGGAACAATCCCGTGCGCGGTACAGGCTGGGGACCAATTAGCTAAGAGTAGCTCTGTGGGAAAAGAATTGGGGGTTACAGTAAGCTGAATATGAGGCAAGTGTGCCCTTGTTGCAATGAAGACTAATGAGATACTGGGCTGGACTTGTAGGAGCATTGCCAGCAGATCAAGAGAAGCAATTCTGTCCCTTCATTCAGCACTGGTGAGGCCACATCTCGAGTACGGTGTCTAGTTTTGGGTTCCCCACTACAGAAAGGATGTGGAGAAATTGGAGAGAGTCCAACTAAGGGCAGTGAAAATGGCTAGGGGGCTGGAGCATATGACTTATGAGGAGAGGCTGGGGGGAACTGGGCTTGGAGAAGAGAAGACTGAGAGAGGATTTGATAGCAGCCTTCAGCTACCTGAAGGAGGGTTGCAAAGAGGATGGAGTTGGACTGTTCTCAGTGGTGGCAGATGACAGAACAAGAAGCAACAGTCTCAAGTTGCAGCAAGGGAAGTTTAGGTTGGATATTAGCAAAAAAAAACCTCTCTCACTAAGAGGGTAGTAAAACATTGGAACAGGTTATCCAGAGAGACCCCTGCCCCTCCATGCTTGGATGTTTTTATGATCTGGCTAGACAAAGCCTTGGTTGGGATGATTTAGTTGGGGGCAGTCCTACTTTGAGCAGGGGGTTGAATTAGACCTCCTGAAGTCCCTTCAAACTCTAATTTTCTATCTTTCTGTGGAAAGTTTATATGTTCCTGGCATCTTTCCTGTAGCTGGCAAGCTATGACGATCATGTCAGTTTTGCCTCTTGATGCCCTATACCCACATTAGGATTCCAGGAGGAGTTCTTCAGCAGCTGGAAGAAGACGATTCAGGAGGGTTCCTGC